CCCCCCCCCTTCTCCCCCCCCCCAGGGTCCCCATCCCTACCTGCTGCCGGCACCTGGAGCAGCAGAGCGGCGGCCAACGGCAGCCAGGCTCTCATGGTGACAAAAAGGTGGAGGAGGAGGCAGAGCTCAGGCTGAGAGCCTTCCCCTCCCCTCCCCTCCCCTCCCCAAACCCTCACTTCCCCTCTGGTCAGCTCTCAGCCATTTGTCACCACGTTGTCCCCAACGTCAGCGCGCGGTCAGCAGCGCCGGCTGGGTGCAAAAGCCATCAGAACCACCACGACCCCACGGGTGGGGAAGTGAGGAGGATCCTCCAGGGCCCGGGGGTGCGGGTGAAGAACCTCAGATAAAGGGGAACGGCCAGATCAGAAACCTCGTGTGGGAAAGGAAGGAAGAGCGGCTTTGGGTGGCGGGGAAGGACGGAGGCAGCCGGATCCGTTTTAGCTTTTATTCAACTCAGATCGCAGCGCGGAAAGGACGCGGATGAACCGAGCGCGAAACCTCAGCGATCCACCTCCCCAAAAACGATGTCCTGAGTGCCTGCAGCGAGAGAGCAGCGTGAGCAGGGGGCAAAACCACCGCCAGGCCTCCCCTCAGCCACCGAAACCTCAGCCGGGAGCCCCGGCACAACGCACCGATGATGGCCACCACGTCCGCCAGCATGTGGCCCTGGGACATCCTGTCCAGGCCGGCCTGGGGGAGATAAAACCACCGTCAGCCCCGCACTGGGACAAGGAGACAAGGACAGCCTCGTCACACTGCCTGCGCCTCCAGGGCGTCCCCGTCCCCAAAGCTGCCTCCTGTGCCTCCATGCAGCAGGAAGGAACGCGCTGTGGGGCCGGCGCCGCTCGGGGGCTGCATTTCTGGAGCCCCCCGTGGTTTTGTGACAGAGGGACAAACGGCCCCCCATGGGCAGCGCTCCGGTTCTGACGTGAGGAAGTGGTCAGAGAAAGGAAATGAGAGCAGGGAGGGCGAGAGCACGAGGCTGCGGCTCAGGGTTTGGGGCAGCAGAGCCACCAGCGAGGACGCAGGCTGCAGCCCTGCAGGTGTCAGCGGGGCTCCTGTGGGGCTCCCCCAGCCCCCCTCCCTGCCCCCCCCTGAGCCCCCGACCCCCTACCAGGTGAGCAAAGCCCGGTGCTTTGATCTTGCAGCGATACGGACGGCTGCTGCCATCAGAGACGAGGTAGACGCCAAATTCACCCTGTGGGCACAGAGGGGACGCAGATGTTGTGTCCGAGCCCAGAGATGTGAAAGCAGCACCCAGGGCGGGACGGCTGTGTGTGCGATGCCTGCGTGGCCGCAGAGCTCACAGCCCTCAGCCCTGAGCTCCGCACATCACAGCGCCTCCAGGGCGGCCCAGTGCCCTCCTGCCACCGAGCTGGAGATGCCACAGCGAGCCAGAGACCTGGATCAGCCCCACAGAGCCCCTCGCCCCCCCAAACGGCACAAAAAGGGGCACCTTGGGGGCCTCGATGGCCGTGTAGGTGGCGCCGGGTGGCACCTGGTAGCCCTCGGTGTAGAGCTTGAAGTGGTGAATGAGGGACTCCATGGAGGTCTGTGGGGAGAGAACACAGCTGGGGGGACACAGGGGATGGAGAGCAGAGCGGGGACCTCAAAGCTGAGACCCACAAACCCACGGGGGGGGGGGGGGAGGCAGCGGCTTTACCTTCATCTCTGCGCGCTTGGGAGGAGAGATTTTGGCGTCATCCACTTTGATTTCCCCCTCTGGCATCTTATTGAGGCACTGCAGGATGATGCGCAGGGACTGCCGCATCTCCTCCACGCGGCACAGGTAGCTGTGGGGCACAGAGAGCTCAGGAGGGGCTGGGGGGGGGTTTGGGGGGGCTGGAGGGTGGGGAGGGAGGCGTACCGGTCGTAGCAGTCGCCCCTGGAGCCGATGGGGACATCAAACTCCACCTGGTCGTAGACGTCGTAGGGCTGCGTCTTACGTAGGTCCCAATGGATCCCTGAGCCCCGCAGCATCACCCCGCTGGGGCAGTGGGGAGATTTGGTGAAGGGGGGGGAACCACAGCCCCATAACCACCCCATAACCACCCCACAGCAACGCCTGAGTCCACTGGGGGGCTCTGCATCAAGGGGATGCAGGACGGGGACAGCAGCTCTGGGGATACAGAGTGATGCTCAGCCATCCCCACCCCAGGGATCCCCATAACCGAAGCTCAGAGCCCTCAGGCCCAGACCCCGACCCCCGCGAGCCCCCCAGCAGCGCGACGTGACCCCAAAGTGCGTCCCCAAGAGCTGCACCCCCACCTGAACCCATAGTTGAGCGCCTCCTCCGCCGTGATGACCCCGATGTCGATGGTGCGGTTCTTCCAGATGCGGTTGTTGGTGAGCATCTGCGGGCAGCAAAGGGTGAGCAGCCCCTTTTTTGGGGGCACGCGGCCCCCCCCGCTGCCGCCCCACAGCAGCCGTGCCCCCTTTGGTCCCATCCTTCACCTGGGCACCCTCCCAGCCCTCAAAACGCAGCCTCACCTCTTCCACCTCATCCACCCGGGTGGAGAAGTTCTTTGCGAACTCGTAGATGTCGTCCATCAGCCCCAGGGGCAAATCCTGGCCGTGGGGAGGGGGACGTCAGCACAGCCGGGAGGGGAGGGGGGACACGGGGACGTCCCCACCCCTGGCCCAGTGTCCCAAAGGGGCTGCAGGGATCCCAGCTCCCCTCACCTGATGCACGCCGCCGGGGCGGACGTAGGCTGCGTGCATCCGCGCCCCCGAAACGCGCTCGTAGAACTCAAACATCTGCAGGGCCAAAGGAACGCAGGGCTTCCGTCAGCCGGTCCCCAAACCCCAAACCAACCCCACCGCCGACCCCCAGGGCCGCCCTTCACCTTCTCCCTCTCCTCGAACATCCAGAAGAACGGAGTCATGGCCCCGATGTCCAACGCGTGCGTGGTGACGGCCATGATGTGGTTGAGCAGCCGGGTTATTTCTGCAAAGAGCACTGGGGGGGGAAATGGGGGGGGAAATGGGGGGAGGATGAGGGGACGCAGCTCCCCGGCCCCTTCCACACCGCAATGGGGAGGCGGTGAGGCAGGAATCCCCCCCTTCCTCTTTCTGCTCCTCGGCGCCTCTGGGCTGCTGCGATGCCAACCCCACAACAGCAGCGTGGGGGTGGGCAGGGGGGAGGAGGAGGAGGAGAAGGAGGAGGAGGAGGAAGAGGAGAAGGAGGAAAAGAGGAGGAGGAGAAGAGGAGGAGAAGAAGAAGAGGAGGAGGAGAAGGAGAAGAAGGAGAAGGAGAAGAAGGAGAAGAGGAGGAGGAGAAGGAGGAGGAGAGAAGGAGGAAGGGCTCCCCTTCACAAGGGGCGGTAGAGGGGTCGCAAAGGGCCGTCCTCACCTCGGATCCACTGAGCCCTGAGAGGCGGGCGGATGTTGAGCAGCTTCTCCACGGCCAGAGAGTAGGCCTGCTCATTGCACATCATGGAGACGTAATCCAGGCGGTCGAAATACGGCAGAGCCTGAAGGAGGGCACGGCTCCGAGCTCAGGGCAGCCCCGAGGCGGCGCCCCCTGCCCCCCGTCCCCCCCCCCCTTTACCTGCAGGTAGGTTTTGTACTCGATGAGCTTCTCGGTGCCGCGGTGCAGCAGCCCGATGTGGGGGTCGCACCTCCTCACCGTCTCCCCGCTCAGCTCCATCACCAACCTCAGGACCCCGTGGGCAGCCGGGTGCTGCGGCCCGAAATTGATGGTGAGGCTGGAGACCTTCTTGTGGGCGGGGGGGTCCTTGTCTGCATGGGGGGGAAAGAAGGGGATCAGGGGGGAGGAGCAGCACCCCCCCCC